AGAAATGCAAGACTGGTTCAATATTTGAAAATCAGTCACTTTTATTCACCATATTAACAGAATAAAAAAGATAAACTGCTTATTCCAATAGATGGAGAAAAAGCATGTGACAAAATTCAACATCCATGCAGGATAGAAACTCCCAAAATTTAGAGATAGAAAAGGAATTTCATTAACCTAACAAAAAAGCATCTACAAAAACCTACAACTAACATCATGCTTAATGGTAAGAAAATGCTTTCACTCTTTGAGAATAAGTCCAGGGTGTCCACTCACCACTTCTTTTTCACACCAAACTGTGAGTCCTACCCAGTGCAGTAGGCAAGAAAAAGAAATAAAAGACATACAGATTGGAAAGGCAGAAATAAAACTGTTTTTATTCACAGATGACATGATCGTCTACATAGAAAAATCCTAAAGAATCTACAAAAACATCTACTAATTTTAGCAAGTTCACAAGATACAAGTTCAGTATATAAAATCAATTAAATTTCTATATACTAGCAAGGAACAATTGGAGACAGATTTTTAATAAACTACAAAAAAACTGAAATACTTAGATATAAAACTAACACAATATGTAACATATCCATATGCAGAAAACTACAAAACACTGATGAAAGAAAAATATCTTTAGAAAAAGAACTGAGTAAATGGAAAGATGTATCATGTTCACAGTTTGGAATACTCAGTATTGTTAAGATGTCAGTTCTCCAATTTGATGTATACATTCCATGTAGTTCCAATTAAACTCTCAGCAGGATTTTTTTTTGTAGATATCATCAAGCTGATCCCCAAATGTATATGGGAAGACAAAGGAGCTAAAATAGCCAAAACAATTTTGAAAAAGAAAAATAATGTTGGAGGATTCACGCTACATGATTTCAAAACTTACTGTGAAGCTCCCATAATTAAGACAGTTTGATATTGGTGGAAGGATGGATCAGTGGAACAGGTTAGAAAGTCCCAAAATAGACCTGCACAAATGCAGTCAGTTTTTGACAGAGGTGCAAGGTCAAGTCAATGGACAAAGGATAGTCTTTCCAACAAACGATACTGGATGATTGGACATCTGTATATGTAAAAAGTGAACCTCAACACGTACCTCACCCATTATACAGAAATTGACTCAAAATTGATCATAGACCTAAATGTAAAAGTTAAAACTGCGTCTTCTAGAAGAAAACACAGGAGAAAATCTTTGTGATCTTGGGTTTGGCAAAGAGGTTTTAGATATGACATCAAAAGCATGATCGATAAAAGAAAAAAATTGATAAATTGGACTTTATCAAAATTAAAAAACTCTCTTTGAAAGACACTAGTAAGACATTGGTAAGACAATGAGGAGACAAGTTCTGGCAAGAATGCAGAGTAACTGGAACTCTCATATATTGCTGAAGGTAATGTAAGGTTGTACACCCACTTGGAAAAGTTTGGCAGTTTCTTTTAAAGTTAAATGTACTCTTACCATATGACTCAGCATTTTCATTCTTAGTTATTTATCTAAGTGAAATAAAAACTCAAGTTCACACAAGAACCTAACTGAATGGTTATTACACTTTATTCACACTCAACAAAACCCAGAAACAATCTAGATGTCATTCAGTGAGTGAAGGGATAAACTGTGGTACATCCACACAATAGAATACTACTCGGCAATTAAGAGGAATGAACTTGATTCATACACCAATGTAGGTGGATCTTAAATGCATTTTGCTAAGTAGAGGAAACCAGAACCAAAAGGTTACATATTGTATAATTCTGTCCTGGAAAAGCATCCCTTCTGGAATGTGCTAGATCTGGAAAACAGATCAGTATTTGCTAAGGTTGGGGGCAGCTCATTTGAGCAATGGAAATGTTCTGTGTGTTCCTCTAGTGGTGGATACACAACTTTGTGTGCATTTGTTAAAATCCATAGATCTGTACACCTCATCCCACTCCAGAACCTAGAGGGAACCCAGGCTGGTATGCAGGCTGTGACAAGTAAATCTGACTGTATTACAAATGAGTGACAAATATCCTGAAGGGAGTGAGGAAAAGTGCCAAGTAGCTTTGGAAATCAGTGTTTTAACTCGGTATGCTAGGACCAAATACAAAATACAGACGTACACAAGTACTGCAGTGAAGTTGATAAACTTGTTTCTCACCTGTGTGTGGGCTAGCATAATTCTGAAGCCACTTCATCTGCATACTAAGATTGAACAAATAGGTGTATACATTTTAGAAAACAATAACCAGATTCCTCGCTATCAGGGAAAGAAGTTACAGACAACCAAGAGGGAATGCTGGAGTGAACTCTCTGGTGTAGGATTGGAGTTAAAAGCATCAGCATGAACTCATGCCTTTTTGTTTAATGGCTGGCTGGATGGATGGGTGGACAGACAGACAGGGTCAATATACATACATATATTACTAGTTTTGACCAGACCCACGAGGAGGGATGCATTGAGCACTGAGCACATCTAGCACCCAGGTCTTGGTTTCTAAATGTATTTTTCCAATAAAAGAAACCAGAGCCAGGAAGTAAGAATGTGTTCAAGAAAAAGAAGACAGAGAATGGCATGTCAAAAGGACACAGGAGACATTAGGAGAGCATCCCATGGCCAAAACTGGAACAATGTGAGCAAGAAAGTAAATAATGATAGTATTGGATTACCCAACAAGTAAATATCCATGAGTCCATACTGATAAATAAATGATTGGATGAATAAATGTAAAGGGGAGAATGGGGAAAGTCTTCCTAACAGAGAAAGTTTGATTAATAAATGTAGAAGGAATGAGGAAAATGGAAAATAGGTGTTAAAATTCCACAGTAGTCATTATGCTGTACAGCTTAAACTTATGCACTGCTGTATGTCAATTGTATCTCAATAAAACCGGAAGAGAAAAGAAATTCCACAGTAATAATTGCTGCAGGGAGTATCCTCCAATGAAAGCTAAAATTAGATGACAGGTTTTTTAAAATTGTGGTTTTATTTACATATAAAATTTACCATTTTTAAGTGTACAGTTTGGTGGCATTAAGTACATTCACATTGTTACACAACCAGTAGGGAAAGTGTAAGTGAAACAATATTTACATGGTCTCAAAGTATTCCTCCAAAACATTTGTTATTTACATTATTTATTACATTGTAAAATAGTAACTTCACGTAGGAGAAACTTGGCAGACTCCACCCGAACTGATGATCAAGGATAAGGCACCAATAATAAAACATATCAACATCATGTACCCCGTTACGATGCCCTAGGAAGAGCACAGCACCTCTGTGGTCATCTTCCCCAAGAGGCATACCCTCAGCCTAGTCGTGAGAAAACATCAGAGAAACTCAAAAGTGTCGAGATCATGAAAGACAAGGACTAAGACATTGACGGCTAAGTTCAGTATGAGATCCTGGAGCAGAAAAATGACATTTGATGGAAAACTGGGTGAAGTGCAAATAGCCTGTCGATCAGTTAGTGGGTACTACTGTTGATTTCCGAGTTTTGTTTATTTTATTACAGTTACATAGGATGTTATGTTAGTGGAGCTAGGTGAAGGGTGTAATGGGAATTCTGTACTATTTTTATAACCATCTCGAAGTTTAAATTATTTAAAAATTAAAAGTAAAAAAGTTGGGGCTGGCCCCTAAGTTCGCGCGCTCCGCTGCAGGCGGCCCAGTGTTTCATTGGTTCGAATCCTGGGCGCGGACATGGCACGGCTCATCAAACCACACTGAGGCAGCGTCCCACATACCACAACTAGAAGGACCCACAACGAATATACAACTATGTACCAGGGGGCTTTGGGGAGAAAAAGGAAAAAAATAAAATCTTTAAAAATAAATAAATAAATAAAAGTAAAAAAGTTAATGAGTGAAAGTTAAGCAGTCATTTTTCCATAATTCCCTCTGAAAATAGAGAAGCCTCTCCCAAGCAGCTAAAATGACCTTTTTAGCAGCAGCCACAGTAGCTGGCGTTCCTCCCTCAACGTCTCAGCAGTGTTTGACGTGATCAGTAGTTACTCCTTCCTTGACGTTGTTTCCATTCCTGGTGGCCATGGCACCTGCTCTGCAGGGTCTCTCTTACCTTTCTGCATGTGCTTTTTCAGTTCCTTCACTGGCTTGTTCTTCTCTACAGAAAATTTAAGTCCTTCGCTGCTCCAGCCTGAGGGCTTTTTTCTTCTTACTATACCACTGCTATTCGATACGGTGGCCACTAGCCACATTTGGCGATTTAAATTCAAATTAATTACAAATAAGTAAAATTTAAACTGTAGTTCCTTGGTTCCTCTAGCCACATTTCAAGTGCTTGATTGCTCTGTGTGGTGTTAGTGGCTACCGTGTTGGACAGCACAGGTGAAGAACAATTCTGTCACCACAGAAAGTGATGTCGGACACAGGTTGAACACAGGCAATGCTCTGCACATCACGTTGCGACACATAAGTAGGGCACGGTGTCTGGTGGCCCCACTCCTGGTGATGACAGGATCCCTCGGTTGTACAGGCAGTGTCGGCTCCACACTGTAAAGTTCTCCATCAACCTTTCACCTAGTAGTAGTTTTATGAAGAAGAAGATTAGCGCTGAGCCAACATCCATGCCCATCTCCCTCCACCCCGTATGTGGGACGCCCGCCACAGCATGGCTTGATAAGCAGTGCGTAGGTCTGCACCCGGGATCCAAACCTGTGAACCCTGGGCCACCAAAGTGGAATGTGCAAACTTAACTGCTCTGCCACCGAACCGGCCCCTCACCTAATAGTTTTATTCCTTGAAGATCTTTGCCTGAAACATTTGTTTCACTCCTTTTTAAAAAAAAATACAAATGTAATTGTTCAAGTCTTCATTCTGTTTATCTTTCTGTATCTGTGCATTTAGATCTGAGCTCATTTTTAATAGCTACACAATATTCTATGGAATGTATATATTATAAAGTACCATGATTTAATTTTGCTGGAATGGTACATGTTCTTAAGTATGTGATAGATAATTTTAATTGCACATCCTTTCGTTCTCTTTCAGATGAGCAGAAGGCCTTTTCTTCTTTCCGGACATTGAAAAATAATAGCGTGTACACTGAGTCTTGTGAGGATTTGAGAAAAGATCAGCATAGCCCATCCTATCAGCAGATAAGCTGTATTGATAGTGTTATCAGGTAGGAGACGCAAGTTTTGATAGCATATTAGTTTTTCCAGAAGCATGCATTGTCACTGTGGAGCCTTCGTATCATGTTTGCTGGCCTTTGTGTCTTGATTTTTCACTATACATCAGTAGGTATTTCTGGAGCGCCTCCTGCATATGGTTCATAATATACTGAACATTTCGGGGCATGCCTCCTTTCTTGGGAGCAGCTATAGTATAGTTGAGAGGACAAGAGCTACTCTTGTCAAAATTAAATAATGCAAGATTTGAAGATCAATTCAAGACCATAGCAAAAGAGATGTCACAGTCCAGCGATTCAGGCTGGGATGGTCACATCAAAGAAGAAAGTGCAAGGTACCCCAAATAGAAGTGGTGTGAGAGAAGCAGAAAGGTGCCAAATGGCAGTTGGGGGACAGGCAGGAATAGTGACCCCCTTATGTTCTTGCAGATACCTGAAGAGCTACAACATTCCAGCTTTGAAAAGAAAGTGTATATCCTGTGCAAACACAACTTCTTCATCCTCAGAAGAAGACAGAGAAAACCACCAGGCAGATGATGTCCAAGCATCGCAAGGTAACAGGAACGCCCTTCACTATTTGATAAAAAGACTTAATTTGTACGAAGCCACTCCCTTCTCTCTGTCTCTCTTTCATTTTTTTGTCTGTAATTATTTCATAGGAATCACAAATAATCCTGGTTTCATATTGCCTCTTTATGGCCAGTAGGTTTTAATTTTCCAGTTATAAATGGCTGTAAACTGTGAGTGTTTAATATAAATTTCCTGCTGGGGATTTTTCTTTTCACTGTCAGTTTCTCTTATATTACCAGCTGTTTCTCAGATCCCAGCCATACCTAAATCAGAAATGCCCACCAGTGGACGGTGCACAGACACTGAAGCGGGAGCTCCCCAGACCCTGTCCGCGGCGGCGCTGGGCCTGGGCTCTGGCATCAGCCAGTGCAGTTACAGCAGTGCCATCATCCACGTCCCACCCCTAGAGTCAGGTACCACATTTACCATTTACTTTAAAATGCACGCACCGTTAAGTATGCTGTCACGAGAAAACAAAAGTCAGTAATATCATTTACTTAGTTTTAACTCCTAAATTGTACTTTTTCCTTGAATTCAGTTAGAGTATTTTGGAAATATTTTTATATTGGTTACGTAGTTTGGACTGTATTTCTTAGTTATGTCATTTGCCCATCAAATCAGCTGACACACCTAGAGCGCTTAGCACCTGGTGTGTGGGAGGAAGCCCCCCTGCTGTTAGCAAGTAGCAGTGCAGGTGTCGAGGGGCTGCGTTAGGTCACTTTGCTGCTGACCTGGAAAGAAGGTGTCTGTTTCGAACTTTGGCTGTAGTTGTGATTAGATGGATCATATATATGTTCAGATGTTTGTATTGGTCTGATAGCAGTGAGAATAGGGTGTTTAAAACTCTCTTCCTTTAATGGCATAATGACTTGGTAAATTACTCTGATGTCTTCTTATCCCTTTTTACTGCTTTCTATCCTTTTGACTTTTTTGTTACTCATCACAATTTGGTGGATGAAGAAATGGTGACATATATGTTAAGTGAGGTTTTTGGATTATCTCATTTATCTTTGCTAGTGTTCAGAGGTCCGTTAGTTAACACGTGTTGATCGGTTTCTGTGTGCCATTCCCTGTCCTTGCTTCTTCATAGGAATTAACTCGCTTCAGCCTCACAATAGCCCTTTGAGATGGAGAGTTGGCAGGTGGGCTGTGGACTGTGGGAAAAGACCAGAGACACAACTGTTGTGAGGTTGGATTATGTTTCTAACTGGGCAGAGATGGGGTTTTATTGGGAGTGAGCTGGTCACTCAGGACAAGAGCAGATGCATATTTTTTAGTGTACCTTTTCTTAGTACTTTGGATTTCTTTGTGGGCATGTAGCTGCCAATGACACAGCCCATGCAAGGTGGGGTCTCACCTAGTACGGAAAACTCTTTTTTGACTAACCATTATACTTGTTATACTTTGGTCTTATATTACTATTTTGAAAGAATTTATACTAAAATCTATATGCTTTCGTTTAAGGAATATTTACTGATAATCGTTTCTCCTGATCTTAAACTAGTCTCAGCATCTGCAAGGTGACATCTTTATTCCAAGAAGAGAAAGCAGAATCAGAGCCCAGATGTTCTTAAACTGTATCTCTGTCTTTTGCTTTCTGGAAAGGCCAAGTTCCTCCAGTTTACACCCTGACTCTAATAGTAAGTTGGGTCTAAGGACCATGACCACAAATGCATTTTATAACTGAAAGTTATTATCTCCTTTTTATAAATGGAACAATTAAGGCACAAACAGGTTAAGTAACTTAACTTGCCCGAAGTCACAGCAAATGAGTGGCAGAGACTCAAACATTGACAGTTGTCTCCAGAAAACATTGCCATCATAGATGTTTTTGAACCTATGGCAAGATCTAATTAAGATGGAGTGTGAGATGCAAACGTTAGCTAAAAATCCAAGAGATAAAGTAAAACGTAATTTTTTAAAATAATCTAAAAGAGCAGGAAAGGAGGAATAAAGCAACAACAAGAACAACTGAAAAACAGGGAACATATCAAATTGATAAAATAAAAGCTCTAAACCCAACTATATCAATAATTACATGAAATAGACTAAACACTCCAATAAAAAGGAAGAAATGGTCAGAACAGATTTAAAAAGTCAAGATCCATCTATGTGCTGTCTGCAAAGTACAATTTAAATATAAATTCACAAGTGGGTTGAGAATAATGGACAAGAAGGATGCACAACCCAAATAATAAGTATGAAAAGGCTGGAGCACCTGTGTTAGTGAAATAGACTTCAAGACAGTCTTACCAGAGACATTTCCTAATGATAACATGTCAATTCATCAGGAAGACATAACCGTAAATGTGTATTTGCTAATTACAGAGCTTGAAAGATACGAAGCAAAAATGGAAAGAGTTGAAGAGAGAAATAAACATTCTGTAATCATAGTTGAAGAATTAACACCCTGTCTCTGCAATTGATAAAACATCTAAACAAAAAATGAGTAAAGAGGGGCCAGCCCCATGGCCGAGTGGTTAAGTTTGCGTGCTGTGCTGCGGCAGCCCAGGGTTTCACTGGTTTGGATCCTGGGTGAGGACATGGCACCATTCATCAGGCCATGCTGAGGCGCATCCCGCATGCCACAGCTAGAAGGACCCACAACTAAAAAATATACAGCTATGTGCCGGGGGGCTTTGGGGAGAAAAAGGAAAAATAAAATCGTTAAAAAAAAATGAGTAAAGAAATAGATGATCTGAACAGTGCTCTCAGCTGCCTTGACCTAATTGATGCTCAGATAACACAGTGCCCAACAGCTGCGTGATACACGTGCTTCTCAAGTGCACACGATGTGCTCACTGAGACAGAACACGTGTCAGGCTGTAATATCAGTCTCAAGTTTAACATAAGTGATGTTGTACAAACGATGCTCTTTGGCTAGAGTTAATTCAGTTAGAAATCAATTAAACTAAGACGTTTAAACCCAAACGCTTAGAAACTAAACAGCATATTTCTAAATAATCCATGAGTAAAAGAAGTAGTCACAAAGAATGTTAGAAAATTTCTAATATTCAAAATCAGTAATAATGAAAGTACAGCATACTGGAATTTTGGGGATGCATTTAAAATGGGGCTTGTAAGGATATCAGTGAATTGAAATGCTAATATTAGAGAAGAAATGTCTCAAATCATTGATCTAAAGTTCCAGTTTAAGAAGCCAGCAAAAAAAAGAGCAAAGTAAACCTAGGTAGAAGGAAGGAAATAATAAAGATAAAAGCAGAAATCAACCAAATAGAAAACAGACAATACAGAAAATTAAAGCTGAAAGTTGGTTCCCTGAAAAGATGAACAAAATTAATGAACCCTGTGTGCCAGTACCCCACCATTCTGATTCCGGTAGCTTTCTAGGAAGTCTTGAAATCAGGGAGTGCAAGTCTTCCAACTTTCTTGCATGAACCTGGTATATCTATCCGTTTATTTAGCTGTTCTTTAATTTCTCACAGCAACATCTTGTAGTCTTCAGTGTAAAGATCGTGCATGTCTTTTGTCAGTTTTATCCCTGAGTATTTTATATTATAAATAGGATTGTTTTTTAGTGTCCATTTCCAGTTGTTCGTTGCTAGGATATAGAGATATAATTGATTTTTGTATATTAATTGTTTTCCTACAGCTTTGCTAAACTCACGTGTTAGTTCTAATAACTGTAGCTGCCATAGGACTTTGTATATGTGCGATCATGTCTGTGGAAGTCAGTTTTACGTCTTCCTTTCCAAGCTGGATCTTTTTCATCTATTTTCTTGTCTTATTGAACTGACTAGAACCGCCAGTAAACATTGAATAGAAGTTGTAGGAGCAGCTATAGCCTGTGTTTTTCCTGATCTTGGAGGGAAAACATTAATTATGTGAGCTCTAGGTTTTTTAGAGACCCTTTATCAAATTGAGGAAGTTCCTGTCTATTTCTAATTTCCTGAGAATTTTTTTTTAAATCAGAAGTGGACACTGGATTTTGTCAAATCTCTCTGCATCTATTGAGATAATCATAATATTTTTATTTTTAAGTTTCTTTTTCAGTTTGAGTTACAGTTGACTTTTAAGTGTTAAAATATGTTTGCATTCCTGGGATAAACCCCACTTGGTCATAATGTATTATCCTTTTTTTTTAAAGATTGGCACCTGAGCTGGCAACTGTTACCAATCTTTTTTTTTTCCTGCTTTATCGCCCCAAACTCCTCCCCTCCCCCCCGTACATGTTTGTCTATCTTAGTTGCAGATCCTTCTAGTTGTGGCATGTGGGACGCCACCTCAACACTGCCTGACAGACAGTACCATGTCTACGCCCAGGATCCGAACCGGTGAGACCCTGGGCCGCTGCAGCAGAGCGCACAAACTTAACCACTCGGCCGTGGGGCTGGCCCCTCTATTATCCTTTTTATATATTGAATTCATTTTGCTAAAATTTTCGTAAGAATTTCTAGATCTGTGTTTATGAGGACTATGGTGTCTAGCTTTGTCTCTTCTTATAATGACTTGGTCTGGTTTTGGTATCAGGATAACCCTGGCCTCATAGCATGAATTGGGAAGTGTTTTCGCCTCTTCAATTTTCTAGAAGAGTTTATGTAAGGTTGGTATTATTTCCTCCTTAAATATTTGCTCAGACTCACTGGTGAAGCGATCTGGGCTTAGAGTTTTCTTGGTGAAGTTTTTAGTTACAAATTCAATTTCTTCAATAGATACAGGGCTGGTCAGGCTTTCTACTTCTTGTTGAGTGAACTTTGTTAGTTTGTGTCTTTCCAAGGATTGGTCTGTTTTGTCCAAGTTGTCAAATATATTGGAATAAAGTTCGTAACATTCCCTTATTCTTTTGATATCTGCAGGATCTTTAGTGATATTCCCTCTGTCACTTCTGAAATTGGTAACTGTGTCTTCTCTTTTTTTCCTGATAGTCTGGCTAAAGTTTGATCAATTTTATTGTTCTTTTCAAAGAACTAGCTTATGATTTCATTGATTTTCTCTACTTACTGTTTTTCTGTTTTCTACTTCACTAATGTCTACTCTGATCTTTATTATTTCCTTTCTTCTGCTTACTTTTGTTTTATCTTGCTCGTCTTTTTCCAGTTTCTTAAGATGGAAGCTGAAGCCATTGATTTCAGACATTTTTCTTTCCTAATGGATTTTAATATAAATTTTCCTTTTACCCTTAGCTGCATCCCACACTTTTTTATACACTGTGTTTCCTTTTCATTGTGTTCAAACACTGCCTAATATGCCTTTTGATGTCTTCTTTGAAATCATTTATTTTATCAAATATCTATATATATGTTATCATATATTGTTTAATTATCACATATTTGGGGATTTTCCAAATCTATTTATGTTATTGATTTCTAATTTAATCCCATTGTGGTCAGAGAAAATTAAAAAATTCTTTTATATTTACTGACACTTGTTTTATGGTCTGTGATATGGTCTATCTTAAATGTTCTGTATGCACTTGAAAAAAATGTGTTCTGCTGCTATTGGGTTGAATGTTCCAGCAGTGTAAATTAGGTCAGGTTGATTGGTAGTCTGTTCAGGTCGTCTCTATCTTGCTAATTTGCTGAGCGCTTGTTCTACCTCAAAAGGAGTGTTGAGTCTCTGACCATACTTGTGGGTTTGTCTGGTTTTCCTTGCAGTTCTCTGGGTTTTTGCTTCATGTGTTTTGAAGCTCTATTTTGTGCATAAATGATTAGGATTGTTATGTTCTCTTGATGAATTTCCCTTTTATCATTTTGAAATGACCTTCTTTATCCCTTGTGTATTCTTTGCTCTAAAATATACTTTGTTTTATATTAATATTTTCTCTCCAGTTTTTTTTGGATTAGTGTTAGCAGGTTATATCTTTTTCCACCTTTTACTTTTAGCCTATGTATGTCTTTATATTTAGAGCGGGCTCTATTTTATGGTTGCTTTAGAGTTTAAGGTGTGGATATTTAGTTTTTCACAGTCTATGTTCTAGAGATATTATACCACTTCACGTGAGGTATAAAAACCTTACAATACCGTCTTGCATTAACCCCCCTGAACTTTGTAGGTTGGCGTATATTGTACTTCTGTGTATAAGTCCCATGCTATGTTGTTATTTTTCTCAGTTAAGTAGTTATCTTTTAAAGAGATTTAAATATTTATCCATGTAGTTATCTCTGCCAGGGCTTTTCATTCCTGTCTGTAGATCCACCTGGTATCATTCTCCTTCTGCCTGCAGGAGTTCCTTTCCCACCTCTTGTAGTATGGGTCTAACTGGTGATGAATTCTTTCAATTTTTGTGTGTCTGAAAATGTCTTCATGTCACTTTTATGTTTTAAAGATATTTTAGCAGAGCGTGGAATTCTAGGTTGACGGTTTTATCTGTCAGTGCTTTAAGGATGTGCTCCACTGTCTTCTCGTTTGCATCATTTCTGACAGGAAGTCTCCTGTCCTCCTTCATGTTCGTGAGCAGGTCTCTGGATGCTGGTAAGATTTTCTCGCCATCACTGATGTGAACAGTTTAATGATGACGTGCCGAGGTGTGGTGTCCATGTTTCTTGTGCTTGGTGTTCCCTGTGCTTCTTGGATTTATAGGTTTATAGTCTCCATCAAATCAGAAAATTTTCTTCCCGTTTTTTTCTCTCTTTTCTGTCTCTCCTTTTTCTGGGACTCCAGTTACATGTATACAGCTTGCTTGAACAGTCCACTGCTGGTCTGTTTGTTTGTTTTTCTCTAAGTTTCATTTTGGATAGTCTCTATTGCTGTGTCTCAAAGTTCACTAATATTTTCTCTTGCGATATCTAACCTGTTGTTATTTCCATTCAGTGTATGTTCCATCTCACATATTGTAGTTTTCACTTCCAGAAGTTCTTTTGGGTCTTTTTTGTTTTTTTACATCTTCCGTGTAATGTAACCTTCCCTCTAGCTATATGGAATACAATGTAATAACTGTTATTGTCCCTGTCTGCTAATTCTGCCATCTCTGCCAGCCCTGGGTTGGTTTTTCTTGGTTAATTTTTCTCCTTATTGTGGGTTGTATTCTCTTGCTTCCTTGCATGCCTAGTCATTTTTGATTGGATGCCAGATGTTGTGAATGGTGCTGAATGTTTTTGTGTTCCCAGAGATAATTGTTGAGCTTTGTTCTGAGACACAGTTAAGTTACATGGAATCTGATGGACCGTCTCAGACTTTGCTTTTAAAATTTTGGGGGGCAGGGCCAGAGCAGTGTGTAGTGTAGGCCTAATTATTCTCTGTAACTGAGGCAGCATCCTTCCAAGTACTCTGCCCAGTGCCCCATGAACTAGGAGATTTTCTAGTCTGGCTGATAGGAACAAGCACTCTTCTCTACCTGTGGGAGCTTTGGTGTTGTTCCCTCGAATCCGTTCTGGTGGTGGGGACCCTCTGGGGGTTCTCTGCAGCTCCCTGGGTCCTCTGTTTCTGCAGCTTCTCTCCAGCACTTGTCCCTGATGCTGGGGACCCTCTGGGGGTTCTCTGCAGCTCCCTGGGTCCTCTGTCTCTGCAGCTCCTCTCCAGCATTTGTCCCTGATGCTGGGGACCCTCTGGGGGTTCTCTGCAGCTCTCTGGGTCCTCTGTCTGTGCAGCTCCTCTCCAGCACTCGTCCCTGACACTGGGGACCCTCCGGGGGTTCTCTGCAGCTCCCCGGGTCCTCTGTCTGTGCAGCTCCTCTCCAGCACTCGTCCCTGACACTGGGGACCCTCCGGGGGTTCTCTGCAGCTCCCCGGGTCCTCTGTCTGTGCAGCTCCTCTCCAGCACTCATCCCTGAAGACTGGCCGCCTGGGTCTCCCCAGACTCTTGGCTCTGTCTTCTCTCAGGGGGCTCACCAGGCTCCACCTGGTTTCCCCACCTCACTCTGTGGAAACTCCCTCAAAGCTGGAGCTGGGCAGTTCCAGGGCTCACTTCATTTGTCTGACCCTCAGGAGTCACTCTCCTTCATTACCTGATGTTCAGTGTCTTGAAACTTGTTTCCTATGTTTTGTCCATCTTTTAGTTGTTTCAGGCAGGAAGGTAAATCTCGTGCCTTTTCCTGCGTCTTGGCCAGAGTCAGAAGTCCCACGTGTGCTGTGCTGCTTTAGCCACGTCCGAGCCCACTTCTGAGGTGGAGGGGGGCCCACCCACCACACGCCCTGGTGCTGCACCGCGGGGCAGGGGTGGAGTGCATGGTGGGGAAGCCCCCGTGACCACCATAAAGTCTCTCGTACTCGGAAGAAGTAATTTTTTAGGGCTAGCGATACGTAGTGCAGTGCTCTCTTGTGCCTCTGGGCAGCGCAGCTGCAGCTCCCGCTCAAGCCCACGATCACGAGGGTGAACAACTGACACACTTACAACCATCTGTACCCAGACAGCCGTTGTGTTGTTCACTGTCAGCACAGTGTGCAGTAAGTTACAAGACATTCAACATGTTGTGATAAAATAGGCTTTGTGTGAGATGGTTTTGCCCAGCTGCGGGCTACTGTCAGGGTTCTGAGCGTGTGTAAAGCAGGCGAGGCTGAGCTACAACGTTCAGTAGATTAGGTGTTTTAAGGGCATTTTCAACTTGCGATGTTTTCAGTTTATGATGGGTTTGTCAGGACATAACCCCATCATCAGGGAGAAAGACCTGTAATTGGTAGGAATTAAAATTAGATCTGCGTTTTTCCACCTCAGCAGAATTGACTCCGGCAGAGGATGCCCCCCAAGCGCTTGAGCCCTGGACCCTAAGCACCCACCCGGCTCCACTCACCTCGGAGGAACGTAGGCACGGGGGGCTCACACAGGCAGTCCTGTCAGCCCACACACAGAAGGAAGAGCAGAACTATGTTGATAAGTTCCGGGAAAAGATGCTGTCCTCACCCTACAGCTCCTATCTTCAGCAAGAAAGTGGAAGCAAAGCTCAATATTCACATGTTCAAGGTAGTTAAATTTTTAAAATATATTCCACTTATCTACATCACCACCAATTTTATAAATCTTACGTAAGTACTGGGGGAGAGAGAGAGTGAAGAATAGGAGTTTGACTTGTTAGAAACTGATGGAGAGAGGCTGAAATAAGTATCTTACAGCAACAGCTTTTATGCAGGATCTCATTCGTCTTTTTAGAGCTACTTTTTGCCATCCCTGTAGTAGACGTGGTTGCTGTTGGCAAGTGTTTATTCGTTTGTAATCTACTTACAATAAGGTGTAAATGGCGTCTTCCTCTTCTTTTGGGGGCTTGGTTTTCCATAATGTGCCTCCCTCTGTGTCCTGTCAGGAGATTCGACTTCCAGGCAGACCCGGTCAGCCGGTTGCCGGAAGGGGAAGCACAAGTGGAAGAAGCTGCCTGTGCCGTCAGACGGCAGAAGCTCCAAGGACACCTTCTGTCCCCACTGCAGAGGAGAGGTCCAGAACGTTCAGCCCCACTGCCCCGCCCCTGCCTTGCCTCCTCCCGCCACCGGCCTGTCCTTCCCAGCTGCAGTGATGGTTCCCGGCCAGGCCCCTTATCTCATACCAGCTTTCCCCCTCCCAGCCGTGAGCCCTCTGGGAAGAGAACACACAGCATTGGGTGCTGCACTGGAGTGTCTCCCTAAGCCGCTTCTGTCCAGCAGCTCGCAGTCTGTTCCAGCTCTCCCTTCTCCTCACTTAGACACTTTCTTGACCATTTTCCTGCATGACCCCCCTATGTGTCCTCTGTTGTCACCATCATTCTCCCCATATCCACTTTTGGGAGCAACAGGCTTTTCTGAAATACCATCCTCAGTATCAGCAATGGCTCCAAACCTGGAACCACCGTCTTCAGTCGTCAGCCAAAGGAGAGATGAGGAGAAATGGGAGACACAGAGTGAAGAGCACCCATTCCTTAGCTCAAGGAGCAGCTCCCCACTGCAGCTAGACTTACTGCAGGAAGCCCTGTCCAGATCCTGGGAGTTTTCAGACCCGACGAGAAGGGATGTTTGCCCAGAAGCTGAGTATGTAAGTGATGCTGTCTTTCAACACACGAGTGAGAAAGCAAATGTAGGTCCTCTGACTGAAATTAGGGCCCTTTCCCTGGGCTCCACACTGATGGTCTAGGTGGACGGTCCGCATTCCAGCTGTGGCTGAGACTAAGCGTTGTTCTGCAGAAACGTGCGGTCTGTCTGCAGTCTATTCATTTAGGAAGCAGAGGGAAGGAATCTGCTATGTTCTAGTTTCTTAGATACTTTGTGAGGTTTTTCCCAAAGTGCTATCTTCAAATTTTCTGTGTGAATTGGGCTTTCCCCCCTTTAAAATTTGATATCTAGGTATTAAACGTAACATGTTTGTTGCCTATAAAATATATTTTCTTACAACTGAGGGTATAGTCTGGTAAGACAGGAATAAACCATACTGACAAGATGTGAATTTAGCAATTTTACTTTTTCAGATGTGGTTGTAGGACAACAGATGTGTATGGAGGGGAGAGGAGCCATTTGTTGTCATTTATCAGTAAAGCAGGCAGTTTCTGGTTTCACGCTTACACATGTCATTTTCAAAAATGAAAATTTGGGGGTCACTTGTCTTTAAGTTTTTACCCCTTTACCTAAAAAGACATTTTCAGATTTGTTTATCAGGTTAAACTTTGGAATATGATGTCCTATATTTAGCTATAGGATCCAAGACAGTGAATATTTACGCAAAGTTTTTCTTCCATCTTCCCTTCAAGGTATAATACCCTTTTTAATAGATGTTCAAAATCTGATGATCCAAATCAAGAAAATATGCTCAATTTTGAAAGCCTGATGTTCGTGCACTTGCTAGAAATGTAATGCAAGGCAGTGGGTCCCAGTGAGCAAAGCCTGGGCCATGCAGTGAGACATGGGTTCAAGTCCCACCCTGTCACCTGGTGGGGAGTGGCGTAGCCAACTCATTAACCCTTCTTTCCTTTGCTTCCTTATTTGAGAAGTGGAAAGATTGATACTTCATCCTCATTCTGAGGTTAAACGGAGTAGTATTTGTGTAGTCCTCCTCTCCAGGCAAGATGAGCTCCAGGAGCAGGAGCTCTTTCTGTTCACTGTTATCTTCCTAGTGTTTGGAACAGTGCTCAGAACATATGGAATGTTCTAGATATGTTTTCTGAATGACAAAAAAAAAATAATAATAAAACGCATACCTGTGTGGTGCCCAGAACGTAGTGGGTGCTCAAAAAACTGTAATATCTTTGACGTTATAAAATGGACTCATTCCTGGGGACAGGCTGAAAATGTTTTACTTCTCAGTTTTACATGTACATTTTTCTGTTTAACATGTAAAGTTGAAATCTGCCAGTTGTTTTGTAATATGGTGCTTGAGATGTTAAAATCTTCTCTTGTGTCCTTCCTTCTAGCAGAGTGTTACAGGCAGCAGTGGGAATAGCAACAGTCATTTTATGGCCGGTGAGCTGTCCATGGTGTTACTCCGCCAGGAGTCTCCGTCTGGAACTGGTTCTGCAGCATCAGGTAGTGGACCAAAAGAACCAGTTCTTCAGATTCTGCTGCCAGGAGATCAAAGTGTAATGGGCTGTCTGGTTTGGGCACTGAGGTGGGAGTAAAGTGTATTTTTTTTCTTTTTGCTTTTGTAACTTTTATTGGGATATATTTACATATAGTAAAATTCACCAAATTTAGGTGTGAAAAACAAGAATTCTGACAAATGTCTATTGGTGTGACCACCACCACAATCACCACGTGGAACATTTCCATTACCCATAAAAGCTCTCCTGTGACCCTTTGCAGTCAGTCCCCTGCCCTGATCCTCCAGCTCCTGGCAGCCCCTGACTTGCTTTCTGTCACTAGATTTGTTTCTTCTGTAAAGTCATATAAATGGGATCTCGGGTGTGCGGTCTTTTGTGTCGGGAGTCTTTCCGTCAGCGTAGAGCTGTAGAGATCCCTCCGTGCTGTGTGTGTCAGTATTTCCTTTATTGCTGAGTAGAATTACACTGTGTGGATAGCCATTCACCACTTGATGGTTATTCATGGTTTCCGGTTTGAGGCTATTTGCATAATGATGCTGTGAACATGTGAGTCTTTTTGTAGACAAGTGTTTTCTTCTCTCTTGGGTAAATCCCTAGGAATGAAATTACTAGGTGATGTGGTAAGTGTATGGTTAACTTTATAAGAAACTGCCAGACTGTTTTCCAAAGTGGCTGGCCTGTTTTGCATTCCTATCAGCAACATATGAGAGCTCCAATTTGCAGCACGTCCTGGCCAACACTGGGCATTGGCCACCATTTAAATTTTAGCCGTTCCAGTGGGTGTGTCGTGATACTTCATTGTGGTTTTAATTTGCATTTGCCTGTTGACTAATGGTGGTGAGTATCTTTTAATGTACTTATTTGCCATCATGTGTGTGCAAATCTCTTGCCCATTTTTGGGGGAAGGAGAGTTGTTAGTTTCTTATTGAATAGTAAGAGTTCTGTATATATTCTGGATACAAGTTCTTTATCAGATACTTGTTTTGCAAAAATCTCTTCCCTGTATGTGGCTTGCCTTTTCATTTTATTATCTTTTATTCTTATGTTGATTTTGAAGAACAAGTGTTTTTAAATTTTTTTGTATTTGAGTTCATAATAGTTTACATCATTGTGAAATTTCTGTTGTGCGTTATTTCTTGTCTGTCACCACATAGGTGCTCCCCTTCACCCCCTGTGCCCACACGCCACTCCCCTTTCCCTGTTAACGACTGAACTATTTTCTTTGTCCATGTGTTTGTTTATGTTCCACATATGAGTGAAATCATATGGTGTTTGTCTTTCTCTGTCTTGGCTTATTTTGCTTAGCATAATTCCCTCCAGGTCCATTCACGTTGTTGCAAATGGGATGATTTTGTCTTTTTTATCCCTGAGTAATATTCCATTATATATATATACCACATCTTCTTTATCCAATCATCAGTCAGTGGGCACTTGGATTGTTTCCATGTCTTCGCTATTGTGACTAGTGCTGCAGTGGACATAGGGGTACATGTGTTACTTTAGATTGTTGATTTCAAGTTGTTTGGGTAGATACCCAGTAATAGGATAGCTGGGTCATATGTTAGTTCTCTTTTTAGTTTTTTGAGGAATCTCCATACTGTTTTCCATAGTAACTGCACCAGTTTGCACTCCCACCAGCAGTGTATGAGGGTTCCCTTTTCTCCACACCCTCCCCAACATTTGTTATTTTTAGTCTTATATATATATATAGTGATTATAGCCATTTTAACAGGCGTAAAGTGGTATCTTAGTGGAGTTTTGATTTGCATTTCCCTGATGATTAGTGATGTTAAACATCTTTTCATGTGTTTATTGGCTACCTCTATATCTTCTTTGGAAAAATGTCTGTTCATATCCTCTCCCCATTTTTTGATCAGGCTGTTTGGTTTTTTGTTGTTCAGTTGTGGGAGTTCCTTATATATTATGGAGATGAACGCCTTATCGGATATATGATTTGCAAATATTTTATCCCAATTGTTGGGTTGTCTTTTTGTTTTGGTCCTAGTTCCTTTTGCTTTGCAGAAGCTCTTTAGTCTGATAAACTCCTACTTGTTTATTTTTTCTGTTGTTTCCCTTGTCTGAGAAGACATGATATTCGAAAAGATCCTTTTAAGTTCGATGTCAAAGAGTGTATTACCTATATTATCTTCCAGAAGTTTTATGCTTTCAGGACTTATCTTCAAGTCTTTGATCCATTTTGAGTTTATTTTTGTGTATGGCATGAGATAATGGTCTACTTTCATTCTTTTGCATGTGGCTATCCAGTTTTCCCAACACCATTTATTGAAGAGAGTGTCTTTTCTCCATTGTATGTTCTTGGCACCTTCGTCGAAGATTAGCTGTCTGTAGATGTGTGGTTTTATTTCTGGGCTTTCAGTTCTGTTCCATTGATCCATGCGCCTGTTTTTGTGCCAGTACCATGCCGTTTTGGTCACTATGGCTTTGTAGTACATTTTGAAGTCAGGGATTGTGATACCTCCAACTTTGCTCTTGTTTCTCAGGATTGCTTTAGCAATTCGGGGTCTTTGGTTGCCCCATATGAATTTTAGGATTCTTTGTTCTATTTCCCTGAAGAATGTCATTGGGATTCTGATTGGGATTGCATTGAATCTGTAGATTGCTTTGGGTAGTATGGACATTTAACTGTGTTTATTCTTCTAATCCATGAGCCAGGAATCTCCTTCCATCTCATTATGTCATTATCTATTTCTTTCAATAATGTCTCACAGTTTTCATTGTATAAGTCCTTCACCTCCTTAGTTAAATTTATTCCTAGGTGTTTTATTCTTTTTGTTGTAATTGTAAATGGAACTATATTCTTGAGTTCTCTTTCTGTAAGTTCATTATTAAAGTACAGAAATGCAACTGATTTTTGTAAGTTGATTTTGTACCCCGCAAATTTACTGTAGTTGTTAATTATGTCTAATAGTTTTCTGATGGATTCTTTAGAGTTTTCTGTGTATAAGATCCTGTCACCTGCAGACAGTAAGAGTTTCACTGTTTCACTACCTATTTGGATTCCATTTATTCCTTTCTCTTGCCTAATTGCTCTGACCAAAGCCTTCAGTACTATGTTGAATAAGAATGATGATAGTGGGCATCCTTGTCTTGTTCCTGTTCTCAGAGGGATGGCGCTCAGTTTTTGCCCATTGAGTATGATGTTGGCTGTGGGTTTGTCATATATGGCCTTTATTATGTTGAGGTAATTTCCTTCTATCCCCATTTTGTTAAGAGTTTTTATCATATATGGCTGTTGGATCTCGTCAAGTACTTTCTCTGCATCTATTGAGATGATCATATGGATTTTATTCCTCAATTTGTTGATGTGGTGTATCACGTTGATTGATTTGCGGGTGTTGAACCATCCCTGTGTCCCTGGTATAAATCCCACTTGACCATGATGTATGATCTTTTTGATGTATTGTTGTATTCGAGTTGCCAATATTTTTGTTGAGGATTTTTCCATCTATGTTCATCAGCAATACTGGCCTGTAGTTTTCCTTTTTTGTGTTGTCCTTCTCAGGCTTTGGTATCAGAGTGATGTTGGCCTCATAGAATGTGTTAGGAAGCATTCCATCTTCCCTAATTTTTTGGAATAGCTTGAGAAGGCTAGGTATTAAGTCCTCTCTGAAAGTTTGGTAGAATTCCCCAGGGAAGCCATCTGGTCCTGGGCTTTTTTTCTTGGGGATGCTTTTGATTACTCTTTCAATCTCTTTACTTGTGATTGGTCTATTCAGATTCTCTATTTCTTCTTGATTCAGCTTTGGGAGGTTGTAAGAGTCTAAGAATTTATCCATTTCCTCCACATTGTCCATTTTGTTAGCATATAGTTTTCCATAATATTCTCTTCTGTGGTATGTGTTGTTATTTCTCCTCTTTCATTTCTAATTTTATTTATCTGAGCTTTCTCTCTTTTTTCTTTGTAAGTCTGGCTAGGGATTTGTCAATTTTATTTATTTTCTCAGAAAACTAGCTCTTTGTTTCATTGATCCTTTCTACTGCCTTTTTTGTTTCAATAGTATTTATTTCTGCTCTGATTTTTATTATTTCTCTCCTTCTCCTGACTTTGGGCTTTGTTTGTTCTTCTTTTTCTAATTCAGTTAGGTGTAGTTTGAGATTGCTTATTTGGGATTTGTCTTGTTTGTTAAGCTGAGCCTGTATTGCAATGAATTTCCCTCTTAATACAGCTTTTGCTGCATCCCATATGAATTGGTATGGTGTGTTTTCATTTTCATTTGTCTCCAGATATTTTTTGATTTTTCCTTTAATTTCTTCTGTGCTCCATTTCTTGTTCAATAGCATGTTGTTTAGTCTCCACATCTTTGTCCCTTTTTCAGCTTTTTTCTTGTAATTAATTCCTAGCTTTATAGTGTTGTGATCGGAAAAGATGCTTGTTGTTATTTCAATCTTCTTCAATTTATCGAGGCTTGCCTTGTTTCCCAACATGTGGTCTATCCTTGAGAATGTTGCAGGTGCACTTGAGAAGAATGTGTATTGTGCTGTTTTTGGATGGAGTGTTCTATATATGTCTATTAAGTCCAATTAGTCTACCTTTTCATTTAATTCTACTGTTTCCTTGTTGATTTTCTGTCTGGATGATCTATCTATTGATGTGAGTGGGGTGTTGAGGTCCCCTACTATTATTGTGTTATTATTAAAATCTTCTTTTAGATTTGTTAATAGTTGGTTTATGTACTTTGGTGCTCCTTTGTTGGGTGCATAGATATTTACAAGTCTTATTTCTTCTTGATGGAATGTCTCTTTGATCATCATATACTGCCCCTCTTTGTCTCTCTCTACCTGTCTTATCTTGAAGTCTACTTTGTCTGATGTAAGTATTGAAACACCTGCTTTCTTTTGTTTGCCATTAGCTTGGAGTATCGTCTTCCATCCCTTCCCTCTGAGCGTGTGTTTGTTGTTGGAGCTGAGATGTGTTTCCTGGAGGCAGCATATTGTTGGATCTTGTTCTTTAATCCATCTCGGCTC